CGGGGGCGCCCCCGGGCAGCCTCTTCCTGTTTCCTAGCCACGCCCACGGCGATGACGTTGCAAGTTCAGCTGCGCTGCCCCGCCCCGCCCATCTCAAAGGAGCGGCAGAGCGCTTTGGGGACCGTGCAGCGCCGCGCGGCGCTTGGAGAGGCGCGGGGGCGGCGGCTGCGTTGCGCGCTGGATCTCTCCTCCCAAAGCACACGCACACGCACGGGGACGCACGCAGAGGGCCCGGCTCAGTTGAGCGCGCTTACCGGAAGGAAATCCCGGGGAAATCAGTTCTGGCTTCCCCGTAAATTCAGGGGATAACGCAAGTCTCCCGCAACCCAGCTCACCAAGGGGCCACCTGCCCAGCTGCTGCGACCGCGCGGGGCCCTCGGGGCAGCGCCGGCGGACCAGGGCTGGACCTGCGGAGGATTCCTCGGATGGGAGACCATCAGGAAATCGCAGGGCGGCGGGGGAGGGGGGCTTGGAAAAGCGTCGAGGAAGCGGCTCTGGCAAGCTGCTTCCGCTGCGCTGGCAAGACGAGGGCGTTTTTATTGCACACACGAAGACACACACACACACAATAGGAGGAGAACCAGGTTTGTCTATGGTGGCAGACAATCAGGAGTGGTCTGGTGGTGCCTTTTCCAGCTCAGACATTTTATGAAATTTATAAAATTTCTGAGTCGAAAAAGACACCACCAGACCACTCCTGATTTTTTCACATACACACGCACATGCACACTCCCACTTGCACACTGTGATTATTTATTACTGACCTTTTTGACCATACCTTGTGGACACCCCTAATGGACGCCAACCAATTTCCTGGGCCAGTTCCTATGCCTAATGCAGAATATGGGATAGCAGCTCTGAAGACACATTAAGGATAAAAACAGAACAATTGAAAGATTTAAAATATTCTTTAATCTTGGCGGTGATCATTCTTTGGAGCGAGGTGCTCTAATGGTGTTTACGAAGCTCCCTCTGAAACATTTAAAAACAAGCAAAACGCCTGGCATGAATTTCAGTATTTGTCTTTGCGCTTCGCTTCTTCCTCTCCAAGAAAAAGACGCTCGAGACGATTGATTCGGCCACCAGCCTTCTTCAAACATGTTAACTAATGCTGGACCCTGAAAAATGAAGGGGTGAGAAATGAGTTCGCCAAAACAAGATCTCTGAAATAAATACAGAGATTTTAACATAGTTGCATAAAAGTCTTGGTCCTGATCATGCTTGTTTCACCATAACCAGGATGAAAAAGAAAGGCAGGCATGAAAGTGAAAGAAATCAGAGTAAAGTGTATTCATTTCTCATCCTGATCAGCTCTACGTATGCTTGCCAGTAATTAGGAATAACTATTCCACAATATTGTGCTGTGACTAAGCAGAGTCGGTGCTGAGGCTCATGCCTGAAAACATGCTTTTAGAAATTTGAGTCATGATTTGAACAACCCATTTTCCTTCACTTCTTTTTCCTTACTTTGCCCAAAACTCAGATGACAAGATAAACCATTTTCCGCCCATTTATTTTCCTGGCCTTGAGTCCGAGGTGGTGCGTGTTTCTGCGTTCAGGGAGCCCAAAGAGGACCCGATTAAAAAGCTCCGTATCGGCCGTTGATATTGGCCTGCAGGTAATGAAGGACCACACGCGGCGGATTTTATGGAATAGAAAATTGACCACCTCTGCTTCGTCGGAAGGCTCTTCGTAAACGGGCTGCTTCATGTCCTCGTAGGCTGACATAATCACGGCTTGGAATAAATTGATCAAAACGCAGATCATCACCATCATGAAGGAGGCCAAGAAGAGCCCGCCCAGCGCTCTGTTGGACCTGAAAGCCGTGTCCTTAAAGGCTGAAACGCAGTAGGAGAAGACGGTCTGAGCCGAATGGGTCATCATGTTGTAATTCCACTCGTACTGGCCGAAGACAAGGTAGCCAAACGCCATATAGACAAAGAAGTACACGGCCACCACTAAGGCCATAGAGCAGATGCCAGGCAGCGCAGCTAAAATGGACCTCTGGGCCAGGCGCACGTCGTAGAAGAAGCGGGAATACCTAAGAGTTTTCAGGACGATCAGAAAGGCTAAAAACCCCAGCGTGATCCGCAAGGTTTTATCGACGTGGGAAACTTTGTGGAACGGGATGAATTCGTCTGGGTGATGGAGATAGAGGTCAACGAGGCTGGAAGCCAGTTTAAACTTGAATGCAAGTTGCAGGAGGAAAAAAAAACACACAGCCTTTATTCCAAAATTAATCAGATTGGAAACGTTCTTCAGGTAGTTCAGTCTCTGTTGCTCCACTACGCAAAACTCGTCGATGATATAAAAGACCAGCATGTAGCCCACCATTATGAAAACAAACTTCTCCTTTTGGTTCAGCTGCTTGAAAATGGGGAGTTTATAGGAGTGGATCCACAAGGATGTGTTGATAGGGCCTAAATGAGAAATTTCAAAGACGACGGATACGCTGCAAAATAAGTCTACATCGGGATTAAAGGTGGTCATCTCGACTATTAGCGCCCAGGTATTTTCATCAAGCCAGTTGTTTCCTTCCAACGTCTCCATTCTTTTCATAGATTCGGAGAGCGGCTCATCTGGATAAAAATGGAAAGTGTATCCCCCTGCTTCGTACACGTTTCGCTCTCCGTAGGAATTGTACCTCCAGGGATCCGTGATCGTGTGGTAGGTGAATCCTGTGAAATTGCCGAGACCATTAGCCGTGGATTTATTAACTGGGTTTTTCCAAGACCCAAGGTAGTTCCTGTGATCTTCTTCGTCAAAACCGTATCTGTGGAGGCAATGGCTTTTACTAATCACAAATTTATTTATGAAACTGTGCGGATAGAAGCATTCTTTCTTAGAATTCCTGGCTCTGATCTGCCGCATTTTGGGCAAGCCCAGGATTTTGGACCAGGTCTCTGGGAGAAAGGTGGGCTTCAGGTCGTTGTGAATCAACGGGACAAAGACCTCCGTCAGCCAGAGATAAATCTCATCTACTTTACTGATCTTGGAAAGCCCGTCGGACAATTTCATGTTCATATCTTGGTTGTAGTAAAAGCTTGTGGTGTTCTCCATTGAGTAGGCGATGTTCAAAATAAGCAGCAAGAAGACAAAGTGGCATATGACGTCCTTTAGGAAAACAAAGGCCTGGTGTCGGATCTTCTCTCTTTTCTTAAAAATGGTGATTTCGTCTTCTTCCAAAGGCTGGTACCGCTTGGTGCCTCTCATTCTTACAAGATCGTAATGGAGTTCCCGCATGTCATCAGCATTCAGGCCGGCGTCGTTCAGTTTAATCTCTAGGAAGGCTTCTTTGCTTGACCACGGAAGGCTTTCACAGGAATTGGGATGAAGCAATTTCAGGGCAGAAAAAAAAAGGATGTTCAGCGTCTGAAGGAAGAACACGCTCACAAGCACCGAGATGGCAGAGGCCGCCAGCCACTCCAAAGATGTTTCATAGTCCTGAGACGGGCCATACAACATGATGCAAAAAGAGGACGCGGTAGAAATAACCAGGACCAGCATCCAGGAAGCATACCTGTTCCACCAAGATATGACCTGTGGCCTCTTGAAGAAAAGCATGCTGGGAATATTGACCGGCCTCGTTGGGTGGGCTGCCTCCTTCTCCACGTAATTATTGCTAAAATTGATGTTGGCGTGGCCATCTTGCGAGGCGTCCTCCTCTGTTGAAATTACATTGGCGTCCCCCTCTGGAATTGTGCAATTGTGACGGGTTTTTGCTCTCTGCCGCCCCCTTATATGCTTCTGTTTTTCTAGGTTTTGGGGATCAGAGGCACCCAAAAAGCTGCCCTCTGGGAAACCAGGCCCTGGGGATTTTGAAGCAGTTTCTAGCAGGTAACATTTCTGCAAGAGTTCTTTCCAGTTCCTCAGATTTCCAGCCATTAAAGTAGAACATTCTTTTTGCTGAGTTTCAGTGACCTTCTGGGCAGAAGGCTCCTTCTGAGAATATTTGAACAAAGCTGTTACGATCATCTGCAAAGGGACAGAAATGAAAGCGCTCTGAATCCCAATTATTAGAAGCCTCAGATACTGCAGTTGTCGCCAAAACATCTGCTGATCCAGGTCAGCCTTGAAGAACATCATGTTGATCAGCAGGATGCAGAAAACGATGGCTAAGCAGCAAGACAGTCTTTGAAGCCTGTTGAAAGACCCAGTGCACACGCGGGCAAAAATGGAGAACCATAAGTGATTGTCTGCCAGGTCTTTGGCGAAGCTGATCAGAAAGAAATCCACTTTGTTTAAAGGGGCCATTGGCTGAACCACAATGAATGCCCTCTCGATTAGACCATTGTCCTTATCCAGAGCAAACCATTTTCGGCATATGAACATCCAAGACTGTTTGGTGTACATGTTTTCCACTTTGATTCTACTCAGGAACCAGTTAGGGGAAGAACCTGCATTATCGTGCCAAGCTTGAAAGCAATAAATATCTCCCAGGTCATTCTTAGTAGTCAGGAGAAAGGTATTGATGGCCCCACGGAGGAAAAGCACATGTTCAGGGTGGCTCAAACAATGGACGTCGCTGACCGCTTGCTCCCCTATCAGCTGGATGAAAACGTTGGCTGTTGTTCCTGCCCCACAGCGGCTGCCTGTATAGATGGTGACCAAGTAGCAAACCTTATCAAAGGGGTCATTATCCGGCAAGACAATGGTGTGGGCTCTGCTTTCCACATCAGCCTTATCTTTTCTCATTGCCCAAACAGCCAACATGATATAGGTGAGAAAAATGAAAAGCACAGTCAATATTGTCACTGGATTTTTCTGGATTTGGGCCAACTGGATCTTCCTCATCTCTACTGGATCAGGGTAGACAGTCACCTTCCCTGCCAAAAATGTGATGTCTCCTATGGAGGTTCTTCCCGTCGGTGGGTCAGCGGTCCTCGAAATGCGTGTTTTGCCTGCACAGACACAGTGTAGCTTTCGCCAGGTAGTCCGAGGTCCGAGATGACACTTATCTTCTCTCCAAAGTGTTTGGACATCATCCAGATACATGCAGTCAGCTGTGAACAGTGTGAGGCCAAGTCGCTGTGGTTCGTGGTCCTTTAGAAAGTGGTCAGACTGGAAAACAACAGAGATGTTTCGTTTTTCGGCTCTGCTGCCTTGGAATATGGATTTGAGTAACATCCGAGAAAGGCAAAAAACGTAAGGCGTCTGAAATGCACAATCGTCACCTGTGGAATTCTTAGTCGTTGATGTCACTGGCTTATTATGGGAAACATTAAAAATAGCTACAGGAGGATGACTAAGCTTGAGACCCACATATATAAACACCTGGAAAGTGATCTTTAGTTTTGTCACAATCTGGATTAAGATGTCTTTGGAGTTCCTACAGACTTCAAAGCTAAATCCTCCAGATGCTTCAAGGAAGGTTTGACTGCGCTCCACCATCATCTCAAATACAGCTGTCTTCTCCTCATTTCTGGTCAGGATCATTTCAACCACATCAGGCACAACTTCCATCATGTCACCGTTAGATTTAGTTCCTGCCATCTTGAACCCTGCCACCCTTGTGCTAATGCCATCTGAAGATGGCAACCAGGAAAAGGGATTCTTGTCAAAGTCATAAAGTACAGTAGAAATCACTGCGTCATCGGGCAACTGGTCGTATTCCACCTGCTGCATTTTGGGATAGAAACAGTTTTGGCAGTCTCTTCTCTTCGCAAAAGTGTCCAGAATATCGCGCTTTTCCTCTTTCCTTAATGTGATGGTCCAGTCGTCAGCTTCTATGGTGGTTTCGTTTTCTCCTGGAACTTTGCCTTGTAAGAGGAGGTCTGCTAAAATTTCCGTGACACAGATGGTTTCCTCAGCCACGTTTCTGTGGCTGTGTGGGTTTTGTAACAGAGAAGCTTTCAGGACATTGGATAACCCAGCAAGAATAGCGGTTCCAAGAACATCTATTTCCTTAGATCTTCCATTTTCTTTGTTACATCTTCTCAGCCCATCAGTCACTTCCTTAAGCTTTCGGACCACAAGAAGCTGTGATTTCCTATTGACTTCCCTGATTTCTTGTGTTATCTGCAAAACGCTTGAGATAATTTGATTTGCCTCCATGATATTTGTCGTTGGGATTCCAGCAGAATGATTTAAAAGAGTTTCACGCAGTTCGGCCTTAGAGGAACGAAGTCTTGGAAGTGCTTCTAGATCGTTTAAAGCAGACGCCACCATGCTGACAAAATAACCCGCGCTAAAATAATTTCCACTGTTGAGAAAATATGTTATTGGAGCTGATGTTCCCCTGGTTAAACTATGCAATTCCTTTAGCACAGCCTCTGGTTCCTTGCCTTTCAATGGGCCGTGCACTGTTGCTGGTAAAGTTATTTGGGAATATGCACCAAGTACATCATATACTTCGACATATATGGTCAAAAGATACTGCTTAGAGGGTGCACCAACGGGTAAAAAAAAGGGTGGACTTTTGGACTGGTCACCAAAATACGCAATGCTGCCCAAGGTATTGTTTTCTCTAGCAGGGATTTTCGTTGCATCTAATGCCACTTTGACCTTATATGTAAGAGGCAAATGTTCGTCTGTAAATCCACTACAGTGAACAGTGAATTTTGTTAGAAAAGCTATTCCTAGGGGAGGTTCAAGGCTACACTTTCCAGGCGCCGGAGGTAAATTTACAGCAAATGAATAGTTATAGAGCGATGACTCATACCCCTCCAGGCTTACTTTTAATGTAAGTCTATAGGAGGGTTCTGCCATATGCATCAAACTCAGTGGTTTCAGACAGATGTGTGGATTAGTTCTCCCTGTTGAAGTTCTGGAGGCCCAGTTGAACTGGAGCTCAGAGGAGCTTCCTGAAAAAAGCGACCAGCGATACCGAGGCCTATTAAAGCTTTTGCAGTTTAGGCATTTGCTGGAAAGGCAAAATCTTTCTGTTGGTATCAGTGACCTTCCACAGTTTTCAATGCATGTGACATTCAGAGCCAGCCGAGCATCAGGCTGCACACGCACCCTTTGTTCAACCTGAGCTTGTCTTCTTCCTTTATGAACCACCAGAAGAAAATAGTACGTGGCATTTTTTTGAAGTGTTCTAGGTAGAACTGTTTGCACCGGATCTGAAGAAGCTGTCCATTTCAGATCTGCCTGATCGGGACGACACTTCCCACTCTTGCTCAAAGTCATGGAAATATAGTCTGCTTTTTGTCTGGAGCAGTACCAAGTGAAGGTGAGGCCTTCAAAGGGTTGGGGGGCGTCAGGATCAACAGAAGCAGAACCGTTCAGAATCCACCGGTCAGAAAAGCCAACTGTCTGCATATCACCTCCAGCAATGTCTGCCAAAAGTCTGTTGGGTCTAATCCTGATGAACACTGAATCAGAGTCTTCTACTTTCTCTAAAGTGTCCCTTGTGATTAATGTTATGGTCAAATTGAATAAATACAAGCCTTCACCTAGGCTAGCAGCAGGAATTTTTAAGATTAAAAGATCTTCTCTCCTAACTCCAGGTGGGCTCAAGGGTTTTGACCAGTCTGGACCAGTCTTCAGATCTGGAACTTTATAGATTTTCCAGGTTATATGCATTTGCCTAGGTTCTGGACAATTCACCTCTGTATCAGCTGAAAGAATAAATGGGGCCTTTTTACTATAATTTAAAACAGGATTAGTACGATCAGATTCCTGGATTTTTACTCTTTGAAGGAAACACCATCTTTGAAGGCAATCAACGGTAGACTTCAGGACCTTTGAGATGTAAGTACTGACTGTGGTTTTTAAAATAATAAGCATTTGGCCAATTCGTGTGCAGTTGACTTGTGCTACGAAGCCTGCATATAAGGCAGGGTTAAAAGGAAGATAAGAGTGAGGTATAAAACGGGCAGCGCTCTGGACACGATCTCTGTAACTGTAAGTATCATTCCACAGAAGGTCTTCCTTCTCTGCATCGAAACACTGTAGGTTGAAGATCCACTTGTGCTGTAGCAGCGGATGCTGCAGAGGAATAAACCAAGCAATGTAGACCGAACTTGGCACAAACGAAGGGCCACTGTTGAAAATGTGAATTTCTATGTCTTTCTCCGAGTAAGACTTCAAAGGAACTGCTTTTCTGTTAAGATACAGATGGACGCTGAGCCTGTACCAGGACCGGTGGACAAATTCAATGGTGATCAGGTAAGAGAGACTTTGCTGTTGGTAGAAAAGGTAGTGAATGCTGGAAGGGATGTGTAAGTCATTAGGGGAGCCATTGATAACATAGGAGAACCCCTGTGCACAGCTAAAAAAATAGTTGCCTGCCTTGATTTTCCATGGGTTGAGAGTAAGATAAGCCAGAGGCTGATTCCTGAACCTTAGACCTAAAATGACACCTGAGAAATCTAATGTCCCACTCAAATCTCCAGATTCTGCTTCTTCGAGAACCAAAGAGAGACTAGCCACAACTTTGTTCCTGGAAGATGGTGGAGTAGGAGCAACAGAGTAGTTGTTCTGTAATGCATATGGATTGTATATGGTAGACCAGATCCATCTGCTGTGAGCATCCACCAGGCTGTAGGTCTTTTGTTGGGAGTTGGCCAAGGAGACGTTCCAGAATAGACTGATGGTCCTATGACGGATGCTGAGTAATCTGGAACGGGCACTGTAAAGATGTAATATGATGGGTTCCACCTGCACATCCAGACCAAGCCTGACCAAAGGACCTTGCTTGACATGGAGGGAAGAAATGCATAATCCTTGGGTGTAGTGCACAATCAGACAATACCTGAAATAGGAGGAGCACCTGTGGGACAGCCGATCACCACGGTAGTGGTTACACGGTGAAGAATTTTGATGATGGCTGATGGGAAGGAAAAGGGCTGTACGCCCACCCCATCTATAATTGTAATGATGGCACCATCTTGTTTTATGAAGGCATGCACAGAAACCTAACTGCACTGGTTTCCAGTCATGACTGGGGAGCGTAGGTGGCCAGAGCAGGAAGAGCTGAACATCTTGGCAAAACAGCTTAATCCTCAGATGTTGGTGAAGACAAGAAGGCACTCTGCAGGAACAGGAGACACACTGGATTGTGATTTGAGTGGAGTTTGAAGGAGGACGGATGTCACCTTCTGCAAAGACAGGTCCCAGCACTATCTGTCCTGACCCCAAAACAAAGTTATGCATAAAAGCTGAACTCCAAACCCAACAACGCTGTAGAGAAGACATATCTCTCAGTTGCTTCCAAGTTCTTGAAAGGAGCCCTACAGCTCTGAAAGAACCATGCTCACTTTTAGCGTCCCATGCAAACGAGGTCTGGAGTTTGTCTTCTTCCTGCCAATAAATGTGGTTTGGTTGGGCAGAGGTCACCAGTGATGTGGGCAGGCATAAAGAAAGGGGCATGGTTACTGCCCATGGGAAACAAACCCTGAACAAGAAGAGGAAATACATCTGGAAAGGTTTGGATCAACAGCCTTAACTGCTGTAGGTGGAATGACTATGTGAGTTCTAGAACTTGATACCTCACTGGGCAACCTCTGTTGGAGTTCTGGTAGATTGTAATTCTGGCCACCCTTTGATTATATTGCCCTAAGTCAGTGTTTCTCAATCTTGGCCACTTTAAGATGTGTGGACTTCAGCTCCCAGAATGCTGGCTGGGGAATTCTGGGAGTTGAAGTCCACACATCTTCAAGTCGCCAAGGTTGAGGAACCCTGCAGTAGAGGACCCTCCCCCTCCCATGAGACCATATCAACTCCCAGTCTACCCACCTGGATGCACAGGCAACATGGGCCTTGATCATGCGTCATTCTTGCCATGCTCCAGCAAGTTTTTGCATTAATGCCGCGCCATTCTTCGCAAGGTCATGGTCTGCTTGCTGGCTGGGGAATTCTGGGAGTTGAAGTCCACCCATCTTAAAGTTGCCAAGGTTGAGAAACCCTGGCCCAAGTCACCCAGAGATAGATTTGAACGTGAGTCTCCTGCTGGGGTGTTTATGGAGGGGGAATGGGCACCAACACCCCAGAAGGCAGCCACAGCATCACAACTGAAGCCCTGTCCCTTTCCAAGGATCATTTTTAACACCTGAGTGTTGGCACTTTACTGGCTTACTATTTTTAATGAAAAAAGAACGTTGAAACTTTGCATTTGAACACCTGTTGTCTTCCTCCAAAGTCTGCTAGCATTCACAGCCGTCACAGAAGGGGATGGGAAATGGAGAGAGTAAAGAAGATGACCTTGATGAAGGTACGCAGACTCCGTTGCCAAGGTGACAAGGGGTAAGACACATTTGAAGTCCAGAAAGTCTGGAAGCGGCTCAGACAGACCCCTCCCTGATTGATTCACTGAAGTGTAAGAAGGCGGAGGAGGTCCAGCACAATCAGACTTGCAA